TTCTGTCATGAACATGCCCTATTTTTCCTTATCCTAGATGTAGCCACTAATCTCCTGCTCATTTTCTTTCTCCTTTACACAAAAATGAAAAGGCAGCACTGCTGTTGCTAAGGCAGTTGATAAAGCTTTCTGCTACTTGTGTGGCAGTATCCAAGCAATTACACAATGCCAACAGGTCCAGCACGTATTTATCAGTGTTGCCGCTGTGCTCACATCCCTAGCAACCTCGTGTTATTGTCCTGCAGATTAGCTCCCCGCCCCCACACAGATACCGTACTGCTGTATTCCTTCCAGTCTCACATTTATGGAGGGAAACAGTGCCCACCTCACTGTATGGACAGCTACTATACTGTGTGGACACAAGTGGAACGTACAATGTACAGATCCTTACAACTGCATGTTGTACTTTTTTACATCAGTATACAGTTTGTGCATGTACTGTATGTAAAAAAAGGATGAGTAGGATTTACAGTCACAGAGAAGAGGTCAGTCAATTGACAATATTCGTCCGTAGAGTGAATCATATATTGCGTAAAGCTTGGCATCGGGGAGGAGGAATTTGCTTCACTGGCAGCCAAAACACCCTCGCACAGTGGGAGTGATGGAGCACATATTTCTGTTTCTCCTGGCCTGAGGAAAAAGAAGCCATAGGCAGAATGTGGGAAATCACCTGTAAATGAACTAATAGAGGCAAACAGCGCTGAAACTGAAACCTGTTTGGCAGGATTTTGTGCACAGTTTTGAGTAAGTATCAAAGTTCACCTCTATCGCTGGGTTTTTGACACTGAGACGGCAGATTCCTCCCAGTGTTCCTCTATGTGAAGAAATGACAATGCATTGTAATATCCTATCACCCCAACACAAGGGCGTAGGTTTTGTTTCAACATTGGGGGGAACTCATGAAATGGGCGATTTGGGGGTCCTCCTCCAAAAAAGTTGAGCATCAAACACTTAAAGGAGCAGCGCATAGGATTTAGTGCCATCTAGAGGTGAGGACTGCAAAATGCAACATGCTGTTGGGCTTGCAGAGGGGCTGCTTACTACTGTGGCCAACTCGAAAACAAAAAAATTAGTGCCAGTGTTCGGATTATTCATTCCCGGCTGTCGTGGAAATATGTTGGTGCAACATTGTGGACTCCGTAGACGAGAACCTGCTCCCTATGTAAACATGAACAGCTTGGTTTAAGGTAACAAAAACACAATAATTCTTATTTTTTGGTGATTATACACCAAAGAAAACATAATTATTATATGATTTTCCATTTCTGACAATATATCCTCCTAAGTCCAACAAACTGGAGCTTTCAGTTTATGTATTCTGGTGATTTTTTTCATGTACCAAGTGTCTTGAATTTTGTAAAAAATACAAATCCTTATTCATGCTATTCTTAGGAGGGGACAAACGTACATGCTTGTAAAATTGAGTGGAACGTGTCCCCTGCTTCCCCCTGAAATCTACGCCTGTGCCCGACCATATTGGTGAATGTGTGGCACAAGATATTAGACAGGGAGGTCTCTGATGGACGAGTTACAAGGATGTTGACAAAGGGCCAGATGAGCACTGATATAATTGAGTGGGAGGATCAAGCAGCTCAGAGGCTGAGAGGTAGCAGAGGCAAAACAAAATCAGTGGACTGCAGCAGCCGACAAAGCTACAGCCAAATCCATCACTCAACAACACAGTTAGTCAGATCGGATACCCATCTGACTGCATGCAAATGCAATGCAAACTTGACTAATGCCGGGCCATTATTGCAATGATACATCATTTGCCTCACAAAGTTGTGGTTGTTCTTTGTTCGTGAGGGTGCGCAGTGCGTGATGAATAAAGAAGGAACATTGTAAGGGCAGCTACAATTCCCCACAGAGATTATTACATTTGTGGCAACAAGAAACAAACGCTGTAACAAAGGATGTACTGAATATGCTGCACACTCGCCCGCTGCTGTTATGTTATGCAACTAATTTAATGGTCCCTTATTCAACATTTCATGCTATGTCATCATCTTATGCAGGAGAGGGCTGAGGCAGTGCAGCCACTTAAATGGGGACAGCCACTAATCACAGTCAAATAAGGTACACTGTGATACAAGATAAACTCAACAATGAAGGTCAGCACACATTTTCTGAAGTGAATCCTTCACATTTCATAATCAGAGCCAGAATAAGGTTTATTGTCAAGTATGTTTTTACTAACAAGGAATTTGCTTTGGTGTTTTTTTGCACAACCATGGGTGGATTATGAAGGAACAGGCCCCTGGGCACAAATATGTAAAAAGCCCCACCACCTCTCATAAATAGGATCAAGATTCAGAGGCTCTGTGGTGGTTTGGCCTCTTTTTTGCAGTTGTTATGTATCTTTCTGTGCTTTTGTGTCTCCTTGTAGTAGTTTTGCATCTCTTTCCAGTCATTTTGTGTCTCTTGGAGATCATTTTTTGGCCATTCAGTGTCTCTTTGAGATTGTTTTGCCCCTTGTGGTAGTTACTGTGTGTCTCTTTGCAGTTCATTTGCATCTTTCTGTGGTGTTTTGCATCTCTTGGCCGTTTTGAGTCTCCCCCTGGCTGGTAACTGTTCATTTTAAGCCCCTTTCCCACTGCACAAAAACCCACTAAAATGGTAATGGGAAAGGCTACAATTGGCATTCACACCGGGGTCAATTGACTCTGCAGTAGTCACAGGTATTTATCGGCCCTGGCCCCAATTGGCAGTAATAGAAATATGACAGCTGGATGAATGTGCTAATTTTAGCTCCTCTACCAGAGATGCAATAATGTGCTACCACAAAATGCCGTCTATTAATTGAACAGCTGTCGTTGTCCCATGCACTATACAAGCACGGAGGAGGAATCGATTTATTGACTGAAGTATGTCCAACTCCACTAGGTGGCAATATGCCCCATTGTAGCTCGTTAGTGTTGGTTGACCTATTACATCACAGTGTGAACAATCAACAAGTCAGCTACAGTTAGTGAACTAGTGGCAAACTGGTTCAATGGTGGACATCTTTACAGCTCTGTACATTTCATCTGTCCAAAAATATCCAGCTCTGGATATAGATTTCATCACGTTGTTACCAACTTCTTCTGCTATGCATTTAATGCTTTCAACTTCTGGGTCAAAGCCCGGGGCGGAAACTGTGGAGCATGTGCAGAGTGCCTCGGCCAGTTTGCATCCAACTGACTGTAAACATGCAGGAATGATTTGACTCCCAGTCGTGTTATCTGGGTGTGTTAGTCAGACTCTGAGAAATTCTGTTTAGTACGATTTCAGTTTCAGTTGTTTACATGGATTTTAAAAGTCCAGTTTTAGTTGGATTAACACAATCAATTGATTTTCTCTAATGTCATGTAAATGCACTGACTGACATTTTGCAGGTGAAGACCAGGGGGCCCCAACACCAGTGGCGTAAGGTAGCTACGATGGGCCCCAATGCTATTCTGAACCTATTCCTAGTGCGTCCTAGTTACTATTTATGAAGCGTGCACACAGTTTTAGGCATATGTATTTTCACCAACAGTGTGTCTTACTGCCACTTTTATGTTTGCAGATGTGCCCAGCTTTTAGATTTTGCACCTAAACTAGCTGCTGTAAATCGTATGGTCTTGTTACATGATTAAACAGAGACTTGAGAGTGGACAACATCAACATACATGTTACCCAGCAATCATCATTACGTATCTGTATATGACAAAAAATACAAAAGAAAATAGGAACTTATCAGTTTAACTAATTTGGGATTTTTTTAGAGTTAAGGCCTTTGCACACTGAGTCCGTTTTTTTTTTTTTCATTCAAAATGATCACACGTCTAAAATAAAAACAATCTCACAACAATCTCTGCACAGTGTCCAAAACTTTCTTCCATCATGAAATTTTGAACAGGTTTGATTTTCTATTTTTCCACATCCGTTGGCAGCCTTTAGAGTGATTTGACCAGGGAGGCAGTGGGACTCAGCTGCGACAAGACAGAGGAACGGGGCGCACAGAATCATTTTATAACTCAGACAGCTCTCGTTCAACAGGTCAGATAGTAATATCTAGGTGACTGATGATGATTTAGAGGAGGATGTGGGCAGCACACAGAGTGTGTGAATTTCCAGGTGGCAATCGGGCCCCTCCACCCCATGGGCCCCAGTGCACCACTGTCTATATTCACGCCCCTGCCTACACTTTAGAATTTGCAGTACACAGTAATCATCCATGTGCACAACAAACATATGCCTGTTAAGAAGAAATAAAAATAAAGGCAAAGTGTTGCAAAAGTCAACGATATAGGTATAAACAATACATGAGCAGAGTACAACATAAATATATCCAGGCTATCATCTTTGTTGCGAACACTGGGGGAATTAATATGATTATGGATTATGTATACAGCTAAAAAAAAATAAATCTGTGTAACACACAGATTGCAATGATGATGTAAGCTTGTTGTTGACTTTCCCAGTCTGAATGACTGAGCAAAGGATAGGGGGTGGGGTGTCATTAATCCATGGCTAGTGATGACCAGCCAGGCAGAAATGGGGTGTAGTGGGGGATGGGCGAGGACACTGTTGTTATGACTGGTGCTTGGCTGCGGGACAAACTTCCAGGGGCCTTTTCTCCCTATTCCATCTCATTGGTCCCTTTCAACGAGGAAATGTGGCTCCATTTTGCTGTGAACCTGTCAAACGGACCGGGAGCTAATATTTAATCAACGCTTGAGGGCGGCTTTCACCTTTAACAAACCACGAGGTGTGTGTTGGTGCTTTTGGGTAAATAGGTTAGTCACCGATATAGCTTTTACCCTAGTTCTGCATGGTGTGGCTGTTGTTGTTATATAAAGGTATACTAGCTAGTCTTGTTACATAAGTTACCACCACTACGTCACCGTATTTGGTCGTGTAGCCGTTAATACATGGCGCGGTCGTCACGGTTAATCGTTACTTTGAGCTTTAGCGAGAGGCGCTTTGAAATAACAGTAGTTACAGGCAGCTCATTTTCGCCTGCCGGGTCACCTCACTGTGTCGAATGTCTGAAGCCTTTGCTGGGCTCTTACCGCCTGGCTTTAGTTTAAATATTATAACCTATCGATAGTTAATACATGTGCGCAAACGATCTGCCTTGCAATCGATTAAAGAGATAACATGGTCTGACTTGAGACACAAGAGCTGTGGAAGATCTCGTCAATTGAAAGGTTTTGTCCAAGTAGGTGCGAGATTATAGCAACACTGTCATTAGCCTAGCATGCTAGTGTTAGCCACCTAGCTAGGTCGAGAGTGGCTGACGAGATCACTGTACTCGGCAAGAAATGCTGTTTCAAAGAAGCTAACTTATAGCAGTCAGTCGCTTTGTAGAACAACTAAACACATTGCTAATCAATGTAGCATTAGCTGCATTAGTTTGGTAGCTGTTAACTGTTTGTGAGCTGGATTAAATAAATGAAATGTTAGACCGCGTCGCCTGACTGGCATGTGCGGTGACGGTTACAGCCGCCGCCAATGTAAAACTAATGTTAACTCGCATGTTGGCTAGCATGCTAACGTCCCGTAGCTCAGATGGGGCATCGCGTAAAAATGGGGTGTAAATAAACGGTTAATTGCAGTAGTTTACGAGGTAAATAAGAAGGCAGAAGTAATGCGTTTTTACTTGATAAAAACGTACAGTAATAGTGCAGTTAAAGCCAATTCTCATTCCCCATACATCCACTCATTGACCCATGACATGTGGACAATTGTCAGTCTGGGAATTAAATGATAGTTACACTCTGTAGATAAGGCGCTGCTATATAGTTTATCTTTCCAAAGCTTTGTCAGAAAGACACTTGATTCAGATTCTCTTACAGTATGAAGTGTATTTCGAGTTATACGTTGGCACACATTGGTTACTATGCTTATAACAGCATGTCGGTTAACGTACACACTGTAGTTTGTTGAGCCCATTCAGTCGCCACCGTGTGTGGGGGATGGGTAATGTATTTCCGCAAGTATCCTGCCATGCTATCTTGCAGATTTCGCTACCGGCAGATTAGCATTGTGCCTGTATTTAACTTGCACGAAATCAATGCGACCTGGGGAGGAACAGCTGAACCAGGCCTACAGTCACACAGACGACTTATACTCTGAAATGGCCACTTGACAAAATGAATTGCTCATTTACTGTAGCTACACTCAGACTAAAAACTGTAGTCCTTGGCCCCAGATGGCTATCCAGTACCAAGAGTAAGATGTTGGTTACTGTTGTAGGCGGCAAGCATTTAAAATTTATCTGTACTTACTTAACTGACATGTCTGTTTGACTCTACAAAAGCATACTTGCCCTTTAATTACTATCCTTCAGGTATAGTTACACCGCACATAGCATAAATATCCACAGGCTGTTTGGGCTTATTACATTGCTGACCCAGTTTCTTTCATTGTTTAGTGACACGCCCCGTGGTTCATAACACTTTCCTCTGGCTGCCTTTTCACCCACTCGCTGACACGCAGCTGCTAAAATGTCTATTTTAATTAAGGTAATTTGTCACAGCACTGATAGAGAAGCACTATCTTCTGTGGATTTTTGGCACGGCCTACATGGATCCTGTGCTGCTAAATAAAGATTTAAACACATATGAACATGTGCGAAAAGTGTTAGTGCATTACTTGGAAGGTTGGGGCAGATTACTAAACCACAGTTCATGGTGGGAGGTGGTCTGAGGTATGAAAAATGTGCCATGGAGACAAATTACTGATAGTAATATACCAATTTAAGACGCAGAATGTAATAAAATGTTAACATTATGTCTGCAAGTGATTTCACTCTGATGAACAGTGATCCAGATGTGCTGCCCACGCCTGATGTCACTTATGTATAATTCAGAAGTTGGAAGAGGTGTATTCAGTTTCTCTTCTTTTCTTTCCTCTCAGGGGCCGAGAGTTCTTGTTGAGGACAACGGAGCCATGATGTGCATCTGAAGGCACCTCGATCACATGGGTAGTGTATCTCACTGTTTAATGTCACACCTTTGTGTTTTTTCCTTACTTGTTTGTTTTGTCTGTTGCTGTGGCTGCAAGCTATATTGCGGTCTGGCAGATCACTTTGCTATAGCAAAGCGTCAGGAGTCATATGGAGAAAGTGGTGGCTGTAATTTAGCTTTGTATTCAGGCGGTGGGAGAAGGGGTGCAGGAATGACTCAGGCAACCTCCACACTAATGTTTTTGTTTAAAAACTCATAACTATTGCTACGTTTACACCCAGCGGCCACATTACGTCAGCGTTTTGGAACCCCTAAAATGGAGACCTTTAAAATGCTGCCAACCACTTTTTAGTTTGAAAACTCTGGGGTTGCATTTTAATCCTGGATGGGCATAAAGGTAGACCTCTGGAAAGCATGACGCAGACATGGTTCGCTTCCAGATTGGTGACTGATAAGACCCAATCTGGGTCTTATCAGTCATACTTGGCAAGTCAAAACATTATGGCTAGGTACCTTCTTGTGTGGGTACTCCTTTCTCCAGCAATTGATGAGGCTCTCAGTACCACTCTGATATGTTGCTGTATTTGCTTTGCAGTGACTCCCAACCTGTTTTCCGCTGCCTTAATTGCCTTACGCAGTGTTCACAATACAAACAATAAAGCAATAGCATGACCTGCTACAGTTTCGCAGAGACGTTGTTAAATTGTTGCTCAAGCGTGTGTTAGGGTAGTCACGTCGTCACAAGCTTGTGTATATCTGCAACTAGCAACAAAGCAGCTCAACTTCACTTCATTTAAAGTTTGTATTTGGTCATAAAAGTATCTCTGCTTCTGATTAATGCCTGAGCCCCATTTTACATCACATTTCACCACCCCATCGCATCCATGTGTGCACTGTAATATAAAGAACGCTAGAATACCACCAGCCAACTTAGCTAAATAACACAGTACTACCGCTAAAAACAAAAACATATGATTGGTTTATGCTTCACCACGTCATTTGAGTGCTAGAAAATATTCAAGCCCATACATCTTTGACTTGTAGCGTGTCACAGCCGTGCTCAGCGACACGTATCAGGCATCACCGGCTCCCATTGATGATAACTTGTAGCCTGTTGCTGTGTCACTCATCATGTGAACACAGTATCATACTCATGTTTCTGTCAGTAGCAGTTCCACCTTTTCGTCAGTCCAAGCAAAGAAATCTCTGGTCTGAGAGAGAGAGTAGACAATTTGCTTCCTGTTAACACCCGCACGCACATGCCCAGTGTACGTGAATGGCCATGTGATGTGTGTTTTCAGGCGTGTTAGTATTAACGGAGATTATTTCTGAAATGATACTAAAACGCTTGTGTGTGCGGACATTGTTTTTATTTTAAAACAAAAACATATTGCTGTGGATTGTCCTCAGTCAAGACCAACAAGTTAGTATTAGACATGTCCCAAAAAAGGGTTGAAACAAGCGTGAGTTGTCGAACATGTCTGTTAAACAAATTACGCTTCGTCAAATGTTCACCTTGAAATGACTCCAATAATCCAGTTGTTTACAAAGCGGTGGCACTTTTCAAGAGCTCTTATAGGTCACAACTAGAACCGTTCACTTGTAAGGAAATTCCTTTACTAGCTGTGGTTACGGGTTGAAGAAGTGGTGGTTGTGGCTTCGCTTCAAGAGAGTGAGCTCTTGGTAAGAATACATCCTACTAGAAGTGGAACTGAGGCAGACCGACACCTATCGATGAAGGATGCACGCTGCTGGTGGTATTTCGTTTTCGTTTTGAGATCGAAAGGTTGGTTTGAGTCATTTGTTGGTGTGGTGGTTTCACAGCTAAATACATGTACAGCACTCGAGGTTTGGAGTGTGGCAGTGGTTCAGTATAATTTGTTTTTCTGTGGAAATGTGTATCAATGGAAACAATGGCTTTAAACCAAACGTATGTTGGTAAAGAGCTTTCAGTGCTTCAGTGCTTTTTAGTATGTATTGGGGTAGGTCCGCAGTGTTCTTGGTGTCTTGGGTTGACTTTCTGTTTGTGTAGTTGACTCATTTGAATGTTGTGTTTTCACACCTGTCTGAACTATTTAGAAATGTTTGGTTGGGTGTCAGGTTGACTCAAAGTCCATCGGTATGACATGTTGAAATTCTAATACCAGATTTAAGGCGGTGGCTGAAAGGAAGACAGGAAAATCTGGGGAGAGAGCAAGGCAAAATGGGACATAGACACCAACCAGGTCAATGATTTATAATTTAAAAGATTCACTAGTGCAGCCAAGTTTTTAATCTCAAAATTCCTGTGATCAGTTGCATGCTAGGCCACATAGCAAAGTGGACTTGGTACTCCGTTAAACACCATTCAGATTTATTCACCAATGCTCATCATTGACAAGAGAGTCTTGCTGCTTGAAAAGTGAACTTGAAGTTAAAACACGTTCTAACCAATCAGATAAAATGTTGCCACTTTAAACAAGATTGTACCAAATGCCCGTCTCAGTCAGTGATCTGTACAAGAGATGCAGACTCACTGAGTGCGAGGCCTACGTTGGCACGGTTCAAATGTTGTCTGGGCTTCTGGTAATGTGAGACTAATGTCAATGAGTTTAAAGCTCTCCACTTCTAGCTGCTTGAGCCAATCTTAGTTTTACAGACAGACGGCTAATTCATAGCTCCGAGTCTTTGGGAATTATAATCATGAACTGTTAAGCTGATGCACTTAAAATTTTTGTAGCATAGACTTTTTGTTTAACAGCTATACTGATAACTTGTTTAGGTCCACTTAGTTAGCTGCTAACTGGAATGTCCCTATGGGTTCTTATCTCGTCCACAGCTGAAAATATTGTGATGTAACATGATAGCACGATTCAGTCAGGTGAGGTTATGTCATTTGCATGTTGTGTAACTCTCGTGTCAAGTTAACAGCTGTTTATCTAAGCAAAATGATGCAGGAAGTGATGTGTCCATGCTCTCGATCAGTGCTGAAGTTATAATATAGTAAGATGTTGTGTCAGCCAGATGAATTGTTCGACCTATTCTTGTAATGCTGGCCTTACACCAAAATACTTTATAAGCGACTTCACTGTTGCAGACAACAGTCCGATCTGTTTTAAGTCAGTCTTTCTCTCATCTTGACGTTAGGACAAGTACGACACATTACGACACGTCTCTGCTGATGCAAATACTGAAGTTCATTGCTGTTAATAGTAAAGAAAAAAAAAAAAAAACAATTGCTGCACTCTACAGCACTAAACAGCTGTATAATGATTTGATACTGTGAGGGTATTAAATTTCACTCTGCTGTAAGCATCATCATTGCTGTTGTTCATTTCTGGATAGGCTAACATTACCTTCCCTTTGTTCGGGAAGACTTCAAGGAAGGTATTTGCTTACATAGATGCCCACGTCTTTTTCTTGCTGCTCCGTTCTTCTCTTGTGGGGAAATATATGACCTGAGGTTACGCCATATTTTTGTCTCTACTTCTTAGTAAACCAACTCTTCTTACGGATGTGAGAAAAGGCAGAAAATTGAACCAGTTTCAAGAGCTGGGAAATAATAAAAGGAATCTACTTGTAGTCTTGTAAATAGTGACAATGCAAGATCCCCAGTCTTTGCAAATCTTTTAGTGTGTGACTGTAAACTTACATTCTGAGAGGGCGTCAGACTTAAGTCTTTTCAAAGTCTCCTGGTAGTGTTTGGCAGGCACAAGTGAGCTCTGACCCTGTTCACCGCTCCTGCGTCACTTGCATAGTGATGACATTTGCAGGCACCCTTTCAAAACAGGCTAGTGTCAGATGTGCAAGAGTGCTGTATCAACATGCTTGTAGTGCACCATAACTACACTGACCCTTAAACAGAGTGTAATGGAAAAACACAGCACACTGTAAGAGCATGAGTACAGTACTGCCGCAGTGTAAAAAGCACATTTTGTTTGAAGCATGCTGTGTTTTCTGCAGAAATATTGACGCCATTTGTTGTCAGTGTTATTCTTATTGGTCATTTTGTTCTGTTTGTCATGCTTCAGTGTGAAAAAACTCGCCGTCAGGACTTTCTGACCACCTTGTTATGGATAGCTGAAGGGCTTCTACTAGATTCCAGGCCTCTTGGTTCAGTTGGTCTTGGACCTCAGCCTCTGGGATGCGGCAGGAGACATGTTGACTTTTTCAGCAGGCTGGCATGATGGAAACAGTAGAGGTTCTGTCCCCCGTCCAGATCCCCTTGTTTATTTCCACAGTCCCATTTAAACAGTGCGGGTTCTGCATGAATAAATATGGAGCTGGGACTCAAGCACTGTAGGATCTGTTATTGCTGAGGTTTAAAGCCCATCTATTCCAGACGTTTTAGTCCAAAATACCCAGCCTGCCCCATGAAGGCGGCTGGTAATTATTTCCAGTTGTAGGTTAATGAATGGAAACTGGTGCCCTGCCTAGAGCCAGAAGGCTTCTGCAGCCAACACAACTAGAGAGGAGCGAAACATCATTATGTATCAAATGGCAGATCACAGCTTGTGTTCGCCCGCTTCTCTCCGTGGAAGTTGCAAGATCTAGGTCAGGCAAGGTGATGTTGTTTTTAACCTCTTCCTCTTCTCAGTTTTCACAGTGTGTGCCAGTTTGGTAGTGAGCTACGTAGTTAGCTCGTAGTGTAACACCATCCTCCGTGTGTGTGTGTGTGTGTGTGTGAGAGAGAGAGAGAGGGCTCTTCTTTACCCTTGGCTCTGTGCTCCTGCATGTCATCTTACTGTTTACTATCATCACCCAACACTTGAGTGGTGAAGAAACCCTTCCTTCAGCTCAGTTCAATAATGTGTAATACCACCAATTTAATTAAAGCTGCTCTGTGGTTTGCTTTTACAGGCTCCTATCCTGTGCTGACCCAATGGTTTAATCACCAGGACTAAAAATGAGCATAAGCAGTGATGAAGTCAATTTCCTGGTTTACAGATACCTGCAAGAGTCAGGTAAGTCTTGATTATCTGAATGCAGCTGCGAAATGCACTCGTTCTCCTCCTTCAAAGAACATTTCAAATGTCATATTTCACACTGCTGCTCTGGACTCTCTGTGACCGAACTTTGACTCCGACCTACTTCCCAAATCATCTGTGCCTCCTCCAGGCTTCTCCCACTCAGCGTTCACCTTTGGCATAGAGAGCCACATCAGTCAGTCCAACATCAATGGAGCCCTGGTGCCCCCTGCTGCCCTCATCTCCATCATCCAGAAGGGTCTGCAGTATGTGGAGGCTGAAGTCAGCATCAATGAGGTCAGGTTCCATCTTTAAACCCTCAACTACGAATTAGTGTAACCTTACAACACGCTGGCAAGAAGAGGTGCACTCTCAGCGTTAGGATTTGACTCAAGTTTGTGTGTTGGTTTGTACAGTGCAGTGAATTTGGTGGGTGGTCTTAAGGATGATGTAAGTAAGGCATGTCACGATGCCAAAAAATTTAGTAGTTGATACCAAAACCAGCGAATTTCGACGATCCTTGCACTTAAACATACACTCCTTTATTTAAAATGTTTAAATTTAAACAAAACCAGCTGTAACTTAAGTTTAACAGTTTTCGGCAGAGCTGTTACATCCACACACCCGAAAGAGAGGAAAAGTTTGTTTAAATCGTGTTTACTTTAACCATGCCAACACAAGCTCGCGTGAAAAGAGTGTGATGAGTAACCCTTCACTGGAAAGAGAGACACTGATCACTTCATTTAACATTTAATAGAAATGTATATTTGGAAATGAATTATTTGCTTTGATTGAAGTCCTTGAAAATGAAAAAGTAGTGCCTGAAAAGTGAAGTCTTTGTTTGACATGCCTGCATGACTGTGAATATATATAAATTTTCAATGTGCCCCCTTGTAGGACGGGACCTTATTTGACGGGCGGCCCATTGAGTCACTGTCTCTGATCGACGCCGTGATGCCAGACGTGGTCCAAACCAGGCAGCAGGCCTACAGGGACAAGCTGGCCCAGCAGCAGCAGCAGGCGGCAAGCAGCGGCAGCAGCGCAGGGCCCCAGGGAAGCACCAAGAATGGAGAGGGCGCTGCCAACGGGGAGGAAAATGGATCCCACGCCTTAGCCAGTAAGCTCGCTCACGGTTGTAAACAATCTCTGAATCAGCTCCTTAAGAAACAGATGGCTGACCAAATTCCAGAAATGTTTCATGTTCTTATGCAGGATGTTATTCCGGCGTTAAATGCGTTGACATAATCAGATTCATGTTTTTAAGATGCTGTGTAAGCTGTTTGGCATTCAGCCTGAAATCTGGTTCTTGATATAACACCAGTGAATGGAAAAAAAGACTTGAGTTATATGAAGGAAGGCGGGTTGTTATGACCTAAATACATAGCAAAGTATATTTTAAGAAATGTGCACTAACTGTATATATGATGGTATATAATTTTCTCTTACACAATTTCCATATAAGGTAATTTGGATGTTCTTATTGGATGGAGTCAGAGCTTACAACCTCTGTTTGTGTGTGTTTGCTGTTTGCTTTTCTCATGACAGCTGCAGTACATTTGGATTTAGTTTTGTGTGAAATGTCTGCGGCTTGCTGGGTATTACATAAAGCTACTCTGGTGTTTTTCTAACAGCAGCACATGTGTTTCCTCATGGTTTTGTCCTTCCTGTGCAGCACCGTCACCACGTCTTTACTCACCTTTTCCCAGCACACAGTTGTTTGTTTGTTTTAGCGTAAAAGGCAAAATGCGGTTTGGTTGTTCTCCCTCAAAACCTCCCTCCTTTTCCTCAACATGGTTTAATCACAATGGGCCTCTGAATGAAATTATAGAGTGCTACTGACGGGTAGATCCAGCTTCTCACAGCCTACAGACATGTCCAACATTAGCACCTACAGTGTCTCATGTGTGTTGATTACTTGTATTTTGCACACTTCCTGCTTTAGGACAAGCTGTGGTTTGGTGAAAACACTCTCGGTCATCCAACAACAAGCACAGTCTGCTCTTTAATTCCACAGCTGTCAGCTGTTCGGCTGGTGTTCACTCAGCGCAGTGCCGTTTACTCAAGGCTTGTCGAGAAACGGTGGTGTTGCCATTCTGTTTGAATTAACAAGATCAGACGATGACGTCACTGTGTGCTGCTGTGAGGCTGGTCTGCTTCATAGGAAATTAGATGAAGCTCTGTTATTGTTAATGTATCTTGCAGTTCTACCCAAATAGAGGCTATGTGTGGGGAAACACTGGCTATTCATTGCAAAATTAATAGGCTACTTTACTGGGAGCGGTGATTCATCACGTCTTGTTTACACTCCATTACCCTTGAAAATTGCATCGCATCCTCTTAACCTTCAGAACAGTGGGACAGAAGCTAATGAATCTCGTTATGTAAAGTTTTAGTTAAAGGTTTCGTTACTCACTCCTTCCTGTAGATCACCACTCAGAGATGATGGAGGTGGACCGGGACGTGGAGATCCCCCAGAGTAAAGCCATGGTCCTGAGGGGCCACGAATCTGAAGTTTTTATCTGTGCCTGGAACCCAGTGAACGACCTCCTCGCCTCCGGGTCAGTATCTCCACATCATCCCTCACTTCCCATAAGGGTTATATCATGGAAAAGTGTCACTCTCCAAAACACCTCCAAAAGCACTGGTTAGCAGCAGCGTTTCTGTGAAGTGCTGTAAAGTTTAGTTGATTCAAAACACACATTTAACACACATTAAACATGGCTTAATAGACATTTTCAGACACAAGTACACAAATCAGCTTCACTATAACTCGCAGCATTCACAGACAAACACTTGTGTTTATCTGGACACATTTTCCTCACAAATACAACATGCTAATTTTTTTAGCACAAGTCTATGGCATTTTACATTGTATAAATTAGCCTAACAACTAGTGGACCTTTTCGCTGCTCATACAAAACCAGGGACAACAGCAACATTTAATAAAGGTAATGTTATCAAATTTGGCTCCATTACAACTCACAAGGTTCCCTGACCAAACTGTCTTATTCACTTACATATGAAATACGATTATCTGGCCAGGGCCTCTCTGTAACACCACAGTGCTTCATTCATAATAGTATGTTGTGTCACATATTACCTTTTTATCAAAAAATTGCAGCTCCAGCGATTTAGATATTGCACTCGGCCATATCGGAATTCTGATAATATTTCGATAAATTGTGCCGCTCTATTGTCCGTCTGTCCGTCCATCTGTGCCATTCTTGTGAACGGGATAACTCAGGAGTGCCTCAAGGGAAATTCCTCAAATCTGGCACAAGTGTCCACTTGGACTAATGATGAACAGATTAGATTTTGGTGGTCAAAGGTCGCTGTGACCTCACTGTCTAGTAGGATGGCTGTTTTTTCTACATCATAACTCGGAAACAGAAGAAAAGACATTTGGTCAGATACTGAATTGGTGACACTAATGTTGGGTGTCCACCTTGAAACTGTGCTGAATGTATAGATCTTCTGTTGATGTGTAAGAAGCATCCACATTTAGAGTTTGAAGCTTCTCTGCAGCAGCATCCATGCTTGAAGCTCTGTTTACTGTCATGGTTACATGTGAGTGTGGACAGACATGGATGTAAACATGACTGGTTGGTAGAAGCATGCAGCCACCAGGCAGTCATGTGGTTAACATTTAATACAAATGCCTTCTGAATGATAGCCTTCAGTCATTATGATTTGACAATACGCAGCAGCAAGTGTTATAGTGTAGTATAGTGTAATAAGTCCTTACTGCTCTGTTTGTGGCCGTCTACTCATTAACCTACAAGGACTCCATGATTTAAAGCAAAATCTTTATCTCTTGTTGGTCAGGGAGCTCATTTAAAAACAGTTTACTTTGTCTTATTCAGGAGAAACCTGGGTGTGTGAGGAGAAAAGGCTTGTTTTCCTAATTTATCAGCACTAAACAAACTTTTGTTGACTAAAGTGGTTGTTTCTCCAGTGTCATTATCCCTCTCCTCCTCTCCAGATCAATGCACTCAGGCAGCAGAGTCTCTCACAATGAAGTGTTTCTTAAAGAGCAAAGCATGTTTCACATTATTACTGTGATGCTGGAAATGAGACGGATTTTCCAGTAACAACTAATGACTGAAGGCTTATTGTCCGTAGAGAACAACAGATGACTCAGCAGTTATTAGTCAATCATGGCTCCACTGATAGATCCGTCAACTGAGAGGGGTGAGCCTCAGAGTGACTGCTGAGTACAGTCTTTTATTCTTGTTCTGTGAGTTAATGGTGGGCTTGTTTGTTGCAGTTTCACCATCTGTAGCAGTCTGCACTGTTTGATCAGATCACCTCAAGAGTGGCGTTGGGTTCTATTAATGCTATGCATCTCTAAGCTGATTGGGCCAAACAGCAAACATTACATTTCACTGTTTTCTCATTTAATATTGAGGGTCAAATCACGCAAATCCCACAGCTTTGTTCGCCCCAGTTCAAATAAATCCTCTTGTTAGATGTGTTTACCTTAATAATCAGAATAATAGCGCAGTAAGAATATAAATACCTCGTGTAGCAACTTCAATCACAAGAGACTGGTCCGATCTGAATGAATTTTCAAGTAGGTACATTACGTACATACGTCCGGACATTTTTCGTCATGTTTGTTACTGTGTTGCTGAGAATCCGGAAAATATTAACGCCTAATAACAATGTAGATGCTTAATCTGATCGTTTCGCTGTGGTTGGAATAAATACATTCTTCCTGCACATGTTGGTGACTCATGGGGGTAACGTTAGGTGACGTAGGGGATGCCTGCATTGCACATGCTCCAACAGCTGTTTGTGTGTGCATCCCTCTGCTCATTTTGACAAAGAAATCGTTCATAGAATAAAACAATATTTAGTGCTCTGCTAATGGTACCTTCTTTTGTGAGTGCTCTGATAAATGTAGGTATCATTTGATTTCAAAACCTTACGGTGTTGATATAGGCTGTGATGTTGAGTCGCTGGACATAACGATCATTTTTTGCTGCTAGTAGCAGTGGCCTTCATATAAGATGTTTAGGGAACATTGGTAAATTGCAGCGTCTATCGATAGTTTGCATGCAGGTGAAACCACTTCTTCTCCTTTGACAGTTTATTAATTGAATGAATTAAATTTTCTCAGTTAAGCAAATCAGACGCTTCACTTCCACTTTACGCAAGTCAAAAATGTCGTATTCTGATAGAATGGTTGAGACTTGTAAACACATATCTTATCGAATCACTTTATTTAGCGTCCACATTATTAGTTAGTTATAAGTTGTAATCTATAATCAGAATGATTTCAATCTGAAAAAAATATTGCCAGTGTAACTGCAGCTATTGAAACAATCATCTCCTCTGATGATTTTATGTCTCCTCCCTGTACTCCTCATTATCTTTGGCTCAAAAGAGGCACTGCATTTCTGAGCAGTCAGAGAGATGAAACACAAATAAAACAGATATGGTTTGACAAAATGCACCAGCTGGTTTTTTACAGGTCACTTTGTGTCAGATCGAGCAGCAGTAGATGGTCTGGACTAAAGTAATGAAATCCTGAAATAAGCTATCAAGGTGTGAGAAATAGGTGTGAATATGTGAGACAAAGTCATTACCCCCTCACTCATCCCAGGAGAGGCTTTGTCCGACTGTGAACGGCCGTTACCTTGAGCCATAATTAACAGTTAAGTGTAAATCCATAACATTAATTTCCTTCACAGCACATGGATCGAAGCCTTTGTCAGTAGAAAGAATTGATTTAACTTAACCAAACAAAACTTAATCAAGGACCAGAGTGATTCATCATCTTTCTAAAATGTCATCAAAGTTTCTGCTGCCTTAATCAGCAATTTAGTGCTCGTTTATAAAACCGTCCAACCCCGCAGCAGTGAGTATGATATGCATACTGTATATCTAACAGTCCTGCTCCTGAGCACGAGCACATGTCTCAAAGTGAAACTGAAATGGAGGAACAGTCCTGGTAACAATCGAGGGCTGCGTTTGGGTCCACGTAAAAGTTAATGAGTTTTGTGCTTGTAAAATGTCTTTCTCCTTTTTCCTCAACAGATGATATGAAAAGGTTTGATAGAGATTTAAAAAGATATTGGATTTGATACTGGGTTCAGGTTCGATAAATTGCTTTCAAACCCCAACTCTACTCAAGAGCTATGATGGTCAGTTTTATACCATTACCAGTACTGATTTTTAGAGTTGAAGCCATGGTACGTGTCTAACGTTAGACTGTGTGTGTGTGTGTTGACTTGGGCAGCTCCGGGGACTCGACAGCACGAATCTGGAACCTGAGTGAGAACAGCACAGGCGGGTCCACCCAGCTGGTTCTGAGGCACTGCATACGGGAAGGGGGCCAGGACGTACCCAGCAACAAAGACGTCACCTCACTAGACTGGAATGTGAGTGTGTAGCTGAACAGTATGGTTGTGTGTGTGTCTGTTCCACTGAGTGCAGTTTGGAGTAATCTAATCTAGTGCTGTGTGTGTGTGTGTGTGTGTGTGTGTGTGACCACTACTTCTGCTAAAGGCATTCCTTCCAACCAGATATATGGGGGCGAGTCACTCCCGCGGGGGAAAAGGCTTTTTATGCTGCTCAGCTGCAAACTATTTTTTCCCTGAGTAGTACAAGTCCGTACACAACGCCAAATCAGCACTAATATTTTGTCTGTCATTAACTATTTACTCCTTAATGCGAGTCTTGTTGGTAAACAAAGTGGAATATAACTGTGAAATCAGGCCCAGCGCTGCCTGAATGAGGCTGCATCGAGGCTGAGAAAGACTAAGTGCATCTTACTTCAGACGAATGAGACTCATTGCTTTCTTTCTGTCGTAGTGCAGCTGACTTCAAACTAATAGACTCATTGCTTTCTTTCTGTCTTTCAGAGCGAGGGAACATTGCTAGCGACAGGCTCGTACGATGGCTTTGCTAGGATATGGACAAAAGACGGTAAGATTGCAGCTTTACAGTGATGCATGGCAGTTTTCCAGATAGCAGGACATTAAAACATTCCCAGCCCTCTACATTCTATTTACAGTCACCTCAGCATCACTTTTTAGATCATGGTCTTTTTTAATGATATCATTTTTAAGGATTTTAGTCATCGGACATCTGAACTTTAAGTTTCGAGAGAAACAAGCTGAGTTACTGTTAAAGGCAGCTAGGCTCATATTTCTTCCATGACTCCCTGGGACATCCTGTGTCAGCTGAAAAGTATCGGAGAGTCACTACCTTTTAACATGAAACTACTTTTTTCAGTGTTTTTTTAATCAATTTTAAAACCCAGATCTGTGTGTTTTTGAGAGGAGGAGAGTTCTGGGGTTAATTTGGCTCCTGGTAAAAACACTGAAGGAGTCCCAGCCTAAAAACAACGTCAGTGGCACCTCAGCTAGCAGCCTCTCCTGGCGTCTAGCCACCAAAGAGAGTTAGGGAAACACAGATTTTTGATGTGAAACTGCTTTATTCAGTGTTTTAAACTATATCAATCATCAGGTCTGTTTGGAGAAGGAGACCCCCTCATGCTTCAAATTGTCCTGCCATTAAAGGCAAAAAGCCCAAAAAATAAGCCTAAAAAATTAATTGGTAATGGTGGTTGTTTAACAGTTAAGACAACAACTCCCATGATCTTACGCCTCTTAACAACATCATCAAATTCTGTTTTTGGTCATTGATGTATTTGAGAGAACCCTAGCCACAGAAGTTTTTTCGTCTCCCAAATCGGTCAGGCCCATGTATTTATATTTTGCCTGTCGTGCTCTCAGATATGTCCTTGGCTATTGAAATTATATTGACTGGAAAGTCCTCCCTTTTCTGAACAAAATGAGATATGGCACTCCAAGATTCAATAGACATTTGATTGGCGAAACAGGCATTCTAACCATTGATGCTTATGATTCAAAAGTGCAAGCTACCTGGGAAAATTGCCTCAAGCCATTTGTAAATGAACTCTGAATTACCCATGCACTGTTTAGTCTATAATTTAGCCTAATGCATGAACATTTCGAGGAGAGTCTTTATACCGCTGATTACAGTATGTGAGGATGGATGTGATGGCTTCCACAGTTTCAACGACCATGTTCATAGTACCCTTTAACACACACAGGCACACACTATTCTCACTCAGCAGGACATTGCATGCACTCCAGGAAAACACTGCTTGGGTGATAAAATGTTTCTGCTCCTTTTCTAAGCTCAGTTGGGTTTTTTAATATTTGCAGGTAACCTGGCCAGCACGCTGGGTCAACATAAAGGTCCTATATTTGCACTCAAGTGGAATAAGAAAGGAAACTTCATCCTCAGTGCTGGTGTAGACAAGGTAAGACTTAGCTTTGAGTTATAGAGGTGAATAAGTTTGATTCATGCTTTTTTGGGTGACTCTGTGAACCCTGCAGCTTAATGCTTATTCAGAGTTTCCCCTTTAATGGTGCAATATGTAAAATACATTTATACATAAATACATGCCAAAAAGAAATGTTCATAATATGGATGGTGTTCAGACCACAGAGAGGTCCATGCAGACATCATGTGCTGTCCTCAGTGTGTACCTGCATGTCAGGCTCTCCTTACACCTACACCAAATGTTACAGAGTGACACATGAGAGTGATGCTTCTCCACCAAACATCAGATAAGACACGCTGCGTACGGACGTTGTTCAACATTACCATCTAGTGTACAGAAGTGTAATGACACACACACAGTGTCACCTTCAGCATTCATTTTAATGCCCGAGCGCTGATGTTTGGGAGGTATAAACGGGCGCGTGTGTGATTTATTAACTTCCCTGTTTATCCTACTTCACATTATTCAGGTCAACTTAGTGTGACCTGCAGCTTCTTTAAAGCAAGAACACATTCTCTGTATTTTATTTATGTGATGTTTGTATTGATTTCCTCACTGGAAGGAAACTAGTTTAGTATAAATAATGCAAATGTCCTCCTTCACACAGACCACAATTATTTGGGACGCCCACACGGGAGAGGCGAAACAACAGTTTCCTTTCCACTCGGGTGAGTGACAGGAGTCAGCTGGATTGTTCCACATGAGGCTGCATGCATGACTCTTTGTTTTTAGACAGATGCTACCTTTTGCTGAACTACAGTGAGACCATTGTGATGATACACTGATGTTATTGAAGTCCTTTCACACACTGTGACAGATATGTTTGACTGCCTCATTCAGCGCAAGTTGTCTTTACACATTTCGACACTGTTCAGTTTGTATAAGCATTACAGTGACCCTGAATTGAATCAGAGTACTGTAAAGCCTCACTGCTGCAGCTCTAAGCTCTGTCTCTGCCTCCCAACAGCACCTGCTCTGGACGTAGACTGGCAGAGCAACAACACGTTTGCCTCCTGCAGCACGGACATGTGCATCCATGTGTGTAAGCTGGGTCAGGACAGACCTGTCAAGACCTTCCAGGGACACACGGTGAGACGGGACTCCTGTGTGAGCGCTGCTTTCTCACACAGGGAGGGAAATGGACACCCTTCGCTGGCCAAACATGCTTCTTAAAGCATTGTAGGATAGTTGATGTGAATTCTGTCACTGTAGCTTCTGATGAAATTTAGTAATGGTACTGAAGCAGGGGTAGGCAAATACAACAAAAATGAGACAAGAATTAGCAAGCAAAAGTTAGCCACCTCATGGTCCCTCTGCCTGTGTGGACTGTTTCCTAAGGAGAAGAGCAGGCAGCAGTTTAGGAGACGGACCTTTGGTTGGTGGCTGTAGCAGCTGGAATTCGGCCAAACCGGCCAGCAGCAGCGTCAGGTCTAACCTGTGTAACAACAGAAAGTTTGCTGATCTAGCAGGTAGAAGTTTGTTCTGGCTGGATTCGAGTTGCTGCAGCTGCTGACTGGGGGTCTGTCTCCAGAGCTGCTGCTTGCTCTCCCCTCAGCAAGGTGGTCTGTAGCAGCAGGGAGAGAGGCACTGGAATTACTTGAGATTCATCACTCTTGCTACTGCTGGCTACATAAACATGAACTTGACACTGCAGCCATGACCCTTTGGCTCTGGTTAGCAGGAAGTTGAACTATTACCAGCATTTTCTCTCCATCTCTGAAACACTTTTCTAATATTGACAAGTTTTATTTATTGTCAGACTCTGTTTTTGATAAGTCCATCTTCCTTTTTCGGGTTGTTTTGCAGGGTAGGCAGTTTCTCTGCAGGATTCTCCACCATTTAACCACGCTTTCACCAAATGCACATGTATCTGCCTTGTAGAACAGCCCATAGGAACGTCCTCTCTCTGCAATAATTTGTGATTGGCCAAAGTCTCCCATCACAGGCTTTCTAAAGCCTGTAAACGGGGCCAAAATGAGGTGCTGAAGTCTCGTCTTCTCCCAAACCAGTTGAATTCCAACATGCTCAAAGTTTACTGTGGGATTTTGCCCAGTGACGCCAAAATAAAACTGCCTACCCCAGCTTTAAAGCATTCATTCACAACTCAACAATTTATGTCAGTGGAAAGCCTCCTTGCAACTGTGACAGTTTAGGACATAAATCATTGTAATGCCTTGAGATAAATTGGCATAGAAGTATCTATGTATACATATATGTGTCCATCAGTCAAATATACCATGTTTTGTTGTCTAACTCTCATCTCACTCACTGTAGAATGAGGTGAACGCCATCAAATGGGATCCCACTGGCAGCTTATTGGCCTCCTGCTCAGATGACATGACACTGAAGGTCAGTCCACATAACCTGCAGATGTGGCTAAGATAAGCAAAAAATATGGACCTTAATAATCGGATAAATTCCTGATTGCATGTGCATACTAAGTAGCTGGTTTCTTCTTCTCTGGCATAGATCTGGAGTATGAAGCAGGACTCGTGTGTCCATGACCTCCAGGCCCACAGTAAAGAAATCTACACCATCAAGTGGAGCCCCACAGGCCCCGGGACCAACAACCCCAGCGCCAACCTCATGCTGGCCAGGTGAGCCCACAAAGCAGCATCTGAACATCATAAGCAACAATCATAATGCTACAGTGAGATGAAATAAACACTGTCTATGTATCTTATGTCATTAAATCAGCAGTTTCCACTAATTAATGATGCATTTTTCCGTAATTATGAGGTGATATCAGGATACTTACATAACCCTGATAAATCTGTCTTGCTTAATATTTAATACCTTGAACAAGTTTTCTGTCCGCTGCTCTTCTCAGATTTCAGCAGCGCTCCCATTCCTTGATAGAAGCTCGTCAATAAAATATTTGACACTGACCTCAGTGCTGCTGCTCATATGATATTCAGGTTTGACTTGCCATATTAAGTTTGACTCGAGCTCTGATAATAACGTCTTCAGAGCCAGGTCTGGTGCCTCAGTTGAACTCACATTTGATGTGTTTGTAGCCGCTGGCTGACACCGACTGGTGTGAGTCACCACACTGCCAGCTTCAATGCTTTTCAGATGCACCTGTAAAGGATGCCACAGTCGCTCAGCTGGCCCTGAGGTATAAACACTGGGTCGAGCAGATCAGAGCGGATCTTACCACCTGAACAACCCGACAGGGCTGTGCAATTAATATTTTAAATTAGGAGCTTCAATTAAGGTTTGTGAATAATGTATTACCCAGGGTTCCCACGGTCATGGAAAACCTGGAGAAGTCATGGGATTTCCCAGTCATGTTTGTAATGAAATTGTGACAGTAATCTTCAGTGGATAACCTTCTATGGAATGTAACATAATGGATAATTCAATCTCTGGAGCAGCCAACGTAATGTAGGTCTAATACATCTAGATGTGCAACATTTTACTTACTATCAAGTACGTTTATCAATTTTCCCACCACATTCTGTCTCTCCCTCAATGTGTACCAGCTAGCTGAAGTTATGTTTTACAGGCGCACAGTAGCTCATTTGGCAGAGTAGGCGCCCTGTGTCAGCGGCCACAGATTCGATTCCAACCCACGGCCCTTTGCTGCATGTCATCCCCTCTGTCTCCACCCTTCAACCTAATAGGACATATCAAATGAAGGCAAAAAGCCAGAAATAGTTTGAATCTGTTTTATTTGGAAAAACGCCAGGAAAAAATGTTATTAAGAGTCCTTGAAAAGTCATGGGAAGGTTTTGAAATTTTGCCCATGAAAACGTGTGGGAACCCTGACTAACTATTTACCAGCAGGTGTTGGGGTTAACTGCTCTGTGTTAGATTTTAGTCGCTGCTGCTGTTAGCTCGTGATGTTGAACCAAACGTTCTGTGTAAAGGCAAAACAGGAAGTTTGCTGATCCTTTCCACCACTGGAGAGGATTAATATCCAATGGGTTAGTATCCAATTGTGGGGGGGCGGGGGGGGGGGTCATATAGGTGTCCTCCTCTGTCTCTGGGTCATTAAGTAGTCATCTCCCATGAGCGACATCATGGCATTGCTCTGACGGCGTTGTACGACTCCAGTCTGGACAGCAGCAGACTCTGCTCTCTCATCATCTCCCCCTGTAGCACCAGTGAATTATAATTAATATATGTTTTTAAGTCTATAACTGATCGTATTAATAGGTTGGTTAACAGTTGAAATAAAGTGAAAAGAGTATATCTATCGGTATCAGTTAGTGGCCAAATAAGTTGATGTATATCTACATATCGGATATTGGCAAAAAATCCAATATCATGCATCCCTACTTTTGGACTTTACAACAGTCTTGAGTTTTTGGAGATGTTCAGATCACAATAGTCAGAAACACTCCTACGCAGCCACCACTGGAGTCTAATTCTTGTACAAATAATATAATACTAGTAATATTAGTTTAGCCTAATCCAAACCTGCAGCTGCGCAGACATACCAGGTTTGAACAGAATAAATAGACATTAAAAAAAGAAAAAAACAGCAGTGTGTCAGTGTTGATTTAGACTTTGAATGTAAACATTATGAATGAAGCTTCTAACTTTTCTGTGCAGCTCTACAACCCTAAAATCCTAACGTTCCTGAGCAGAATTGACAAACAGGCCGCCATCCACAACATGACTGAGAGACAGTGGCGTCTCTGCGTTCCAATAGACGATAAAAATAAATCTGATTGAAATGGCCGTGTCACGTTGGCCTGCCAAGATATCGTCTCAGGTGATACATAGAGTGGAGAAACACAACATTCATGCAGAGACAAGTCATTAATTAGGTTGCTTCCTTTAATTAGAGCTGCCATGTCCGGCTGACACACTTTATCTCACGGGTGTCGTACATGGCAGTTAATTTAATTGCAACATGACTCCTGGACACTGAGCGTGCTCCTCTTCCTGCTCCCTCTCTCCAGCGCATCATTCGACTCCACGGTGCGTCTGTGGGACGTGGAGCGCGGGGTATGTATCCATACGCTGACCCGCCACCAGGAGCCCGTGTACAGCGTGGCCTTCAGCCCTGATGGCAGGCACCTCGCCAGCGGCTCCTTCGACAAGTGTGTCCACATCTGGAACACTCAGGTCTGGGATAAAACTTCTAACCACAGACACGCTCATTAACATTGTACTCACGCTAAGATGGCATAAATACATAGGATGATGTTGCCAACGTGTGTGTCTGTGTGTGTGTGTTTCTTCAGACGGGTGCTTTAGTCCACAGCTACCGGGGGACAGGAGGGATCTTTGAAGTGTGCTGGAACGCCACAGGGGACAAAGTAGGAGCCAGCGCGTCAGACGGATCGGTGAGTTTTTCTGCCTGAGCACTCTATCACACACTTCATAATCACTAAAGCACTGCTGAATGAAGCAGCTGCTCACACACACACAAAACACACACACACACTTCAGCCTCTATGTACAACTTCCACACCAGACTACTAACCCAAGAAGTTTGTGTGTCAGCCGTGTGTATTAAAGGTCTCACCCCGGTAAGCTGAAACCATAAAATGCCTCTGGTAAGAATCAGGGTTGATGCTAAGGTCAAACTTGGTTCTGCTGGTGGATAAAAGTGTTTGACTTATGACGTGCGGCTCAGTCATATGAGATTGTTGACTCATGTAGGCAGCAGTGTGTAGTCAGAGTAGTTTTTAGTTTTAGTTTTAGTTCAGTGTTAATTAGTTTCAGTATTAGTTTTAGGTACATTTTTTTATAATATGGGGTGTGTGTGTCAGGGACAAGATTTAAGAAGTGCAGCACAGTTATTACAATATAAACACAGCCCTTTATGAAGGCACTGATTGACAGTTATGGAGACATCCCAGTCTCTTAATAACATGCACCAGTGCCTCCTCATACTTGTTATGTTGACAGATTTAAAGACATTTCATGTATGTATATATATATATATAGTTTTATTTTGGTTAGTTTTGTATATGCACAACCTTGGGTGACTGTGGGAACTTCAACATCAGACAGTTTCAAACGAAGCCTCAAACACTGAATGAAAACGTAATGTATCATTTTGTGTTGCAGTGCCATCAGTCAACACTAGAGGGAGCCATTAGGTTCTGAAAGATAAAGTACTGTTCACTAAATAAGCCATCTATAGGTTGTTAATAAGAAGTGTATGTAATTAACACCATGAACAGTTGCAAACTATGGGAAAATATTCAGATGTCTTTTTACTTTTTTTAACTTATTTTAGTAATGACATAAATATTTATATTAATAATTAAATGCACTCATATTTTTGGGTTAACTTTCTACATGTTAAAGGAGTACATCACCAACAAAATGACCATTTGTTTAGCAGTTAGTAACGTTGTAGCAGTTAGCATCTTCACTGAACCAAATCTACAAGCACAGCAGAACTATTTTTGTCACCTCAAAAATTAATATGAGCATAAGTGAACACTATATTTGGAATATTTTCACTGCTGTACCTTACACAGTAACTGATTGAGGCAGCCGTAAACCTGCAACTTCCATGTTCTGCAAAGAACAATGACTGTTTTTGTCAAAGACGTCTGGTGGCTATGAGATAGCGACTTCAGTTCCCTGTCTGAGAGAGCTGTCTGACGGCACGATAAAGCGGTGAAAAGATTTTAAATATAGTGTGCACTTAAACTGATTTTGATTTTGTTTTTTTTTTGGTGGCTAAGAACTAAACCTGTTGAGGAAGCATATGCTCAGCACTGTTTCATTTTACGTACAAGACACTGGGGTTTTCTACCCAGACGTTGTTGTAAACAAATTCTGTGATTCAGTCTTTTTGTGTGAAAGGGACAAAAATTTGAGGTCACTGTTGATAAATGAATCATCCTTCCTGCGGCTGCCAGTAAGAGTCCTTGTGTGGCAGAAACTGAAACTTGCGGCAGAGGAAGTAGATTTGTGTGTAATGGTATTCCTTCCTGTTTTTCCAGGTTTGCGTATTAGACCTGAGGAAATGACACACGTCTGGGGGAGCCATGGACCGACTACGAATGTGTACATAGCCAAAATGACTGACTGTCCCTGCCTGTCCGCCACACTGCTGTAGTCCCATCAGATGCCATGGCCCGCCATTACCGCCAAATGGAGCGACCCTCCCCACCCTCCATCCCGTCATATGTACACATAAGGACCACATCTTCGCCGCATACAGTTGCATCAGGCACACACCAGGTCTGTATGGACATCTGCGTTACTCGCACAGACCTGCAGGAAAAAACATTTCTCTGTCATCACACAGTACAAACTCTCCGGACCCGTCACATGCAAACCAAAACACCAGGATTCTTCTTGCTTTCCTCTTTTTATCCTTTGTACCAGAATCTAAAGATTTTTTGTTCTCTGTTGGTGTGTGCATATTGCATATGTCAGCATTTGGTGTCCTGTGGACATTGTTGTTTTGAATTTGGATTTTACTGATATCTGCGGGTTTTATACGACATGTGGGGTGGGAGAGAAGAGAGGGGGGGTTGTCTTTTACAATGGGTGTTTAAAGCTGTTCATTGGGAGATCCATTCATTCACGTCTCGGCAGTCTTTAAGGTTCAAAAATGCAGATGTATAGCTTAGAAGATAAAAATGGTTTATAATTTTGTCGACTCTATTTTTATCCGATAGGTTTGTTCCATTTTTTTTAACAAAGTATAAAGCAGTTAATCAAAGGCTGAACTGTCCTTTGTTTTTGCAACTTTTATCCTCAGAAATGGTTTTCAGGTGTTCACAATTCATCAGGTTAACATAGAGCTCTAAAGAATTCAAACCTCTAGGCTGAAAGATAATCTTACATAGCTGTCGATCCCATGTTCTAAAGACATCAACACTGATGTGCAGTTGGCTTCAGGTTTACGTCGCCAACTTTGTCCCTGATCTGTGTCTCAAGCTCAGGCGGCGGCTGTGCTCTTGTGTCAGTTGTGAGGTAACGTGGCACAGGAGTGGCTTGCCATCTGGCGTCGTCGCAGCTTCTGGGAGCTGTGGGGAAAGAGAGAGAGATTCGGGAGATCAGGCCCATAACCGCTCGCATCCATCTGACGTGAACGATTAGTTGTCGTAACTGTGCTCATCAGGACGTCATCTGCAGTATCACTTCCTGGCTGGAGTTCATATCACGGTTTGTCATGTCGAGAAGTCGTTCGCAGCGTCTTAACGGTCCAGTGTGTGGGATTTAGGGGCATCTACTGGCAGAACTGGAATATAAGTGTGTTCTCACGTTCATAATCACCTGAAAATAAGAATCGTTATGTTTTTGTAACCTTAAGTTGAGCCGTTAATATCTACATAGAGAGCAGGTCCAGAACAGACACACCAACCACTGGCTCTAGATAGGCCCATTCCCGTTTTTGCAACAGCCACCGTAGTTAGAAGTAGGACTACCCCTGAAACTGAGATTCAAATCATGAGAACCCTCAGTCAACTCAAGCAGTCATTTTGTTGTTTTTGTTGTCTGACGGTGTGCAGTGCACCTCTGGGGACATTTCAGTCCCCAGATTTTGCTGCAGAGTGAGCTACAGGCAGCTGCAGACACGGACAGCTGCCTGGAGGAAGAGAGACTGCCAATTCAGGCTCCGACATGACGTTATCTGCTGCCTTCTGCTTAGAAGTGGTGAATTTAAAGCTCACAGCAACTTAATACGATACAGTTACTGGCTTTTGTTTGATATCTGTTGTCGTCTCACATTTCCAATCCATCATTAGCGTAGTTAGCTCGTTTAGTTTATTACGTGAATGTTACTGTCACCCTGCTCATCGTGCTGACCCCAGTTCAAACTCTATATGGAGAAGTCTCAGCTGGTTGCAATCTGCCACTAAATCTTTAAATCTTACACACTGGACCTTTAAAAACATTCTGACTTTCACTTTGTAACGTGTGCAGCTTTTATGTCTAGCAAGTACACACTACAGTCCCTCTGCTTTAGTTTGTCGTTGCCTAGCATTAACACACACACACACACACACACTCTCTCTCTGGAGACAGGCTGCGTTCAGGCCTATGCACGGATAGACGGCGCTTTTGTTTGTAGTGTTCAGAATTGGCGTTTTGAGGCAAGTCTGTGCTTGTTGTTGAAAGGCAGACTCACAGCATATGACTTGATGTAACATGGTATCTGCATATAATATATATATATATATAAATATATATAAATATATATCTGTGCTATCACAGGGGACTCTTTTGTATGCCACTCGTACGCTAAGGGTGGATTTTAAAGTTACTTTTTGAAGACGCTTGAAATACAGTATGTGATGTTGTTGTACATCACAAAGGGTTGTAACCATGAGGAATGGTTTTTTATAAAATACCATTAAACAGTCATAGAGAAATAAAAAATTAAAAAAAATTAAAAAATGAGCAGCCCTTTGATGGGTGTTTTTTTTCCTGCACTTTAGACTAAAAATGGATAAACAGGGAGGTGTGTTTATTCAAGCCATCGTAGACACACCTAATGAAAATGCTCTTAAATCAGAATTGTTGCAGAAAGTGTGCAGTGGGTGAAAAAAGGTGAACAGTGTCCTGTCCGACTCCTCGGGGTACGTCAAAGTCGAACCAAGCCAACTTCATGGCATTCCAGGTCTCATCTCGCAGCCATAACTAACAGCTAACGGCTTGATACACAGACACACATATACACACAGACACACACACACTTGTCGTCAGGACATTTCAGAGGTTTTGCTCAGAATGTTACTTGTTTTAAAAAATTTTGTACTGAAGCTAAAGACTATTTTGAAGTTTGCTTTAATACAGTGATTGGACTGTACCACAAAGACACTATTTCAAATGATGTCTATGACAGTGGAATGGTATTTTATAACGTTTCGTTTTTAGATGATAAGCTTTTTACACTGCATTCGAGTGTGTTTGCTATCTTTTGTTCCTACCGAAAGTACTAACGTTAATTCTATCTTTGCTATGTCGGAGAGCCCTTGAAGGTTTTGTACTTCTCAAAACTTTTGTAATTCTGATTTATTTGTAGCTACGTACACGAAATGAACAAACGAAGAAAAAAAAAAAGAAATTATAAAATCTGGATTTAATTGTCGTTGTATTATAACACAGAACATGTAAATACCAATTTGCAGATTTCTTTTTGTTGTGTTGTCTTTGCCCTCACCTACGTTGTACTCTCTTTCTCTCTCACTCACATGGTTGCGGTCCGCAGCCTCCTGATCTGACTGTTGTAATATCACTCAGATTTCAAGGTCTAGAATAAAATCTATTTTGATAATATCATCGTGTGTTTGCTTGTAATTTCCATGTAGCTGCACTAACTGTTTCTTTATCAAAGGAGTTTCTGGGTAAATGTCTTTATGTGGGGGAGGTATACACCAGCATACGCTCTGAACCAAGTCAGTTGGTTGGTCTGTCAGTTATTTTGTTTCAGATATATTTCCGAAATATTGTAACACACTTTGATAGTATTGCCATGAAATTTTGCACAGACGTTAATGTTCCCTAAAGCAGTAGTTCCCAATTGATGGGTCACGGTCCAAAAGAGGGTTGTGGGACTGGAAGTGGCTCGCAAATGTGTCACATGAGGTACAGTTTCCTGCTGTGAAGTGAGTGACAAACGGACAGCAAACTACCTTGACGACACAGTAAAACCAGAGTATGACGCAGAATATATTAAACTGTGTGGACCTTGAACTAGTGACTAAGGAGAAATCTGGACTTCATGGCTGGACCACTTGGAAGCCACTGCCCTAGAAGATGACGCCTACGGACTTTGGTTCATACCTGTCAACCATGAGACCTTTCTTGCATTCTGGCAACTTTTAAATAATGAAAATAAATATAGCAACAGTAATTTTTAGTTGATAAATATGTTTGGTTTAGTTTTTGATTCATACCCCTTGTACCAGTAGAAGGGAGGGAGGCCAGGCTGTATGCTTGGCCTGCAGCAGGGACCCACAGCTGGCTGCATTTCCTGGCGCACACATGCCTGAGCCAGGCGGAACGTGAGGCTCGTGGTCTCTGGACGACAGCTGGGTGCCCTGCCATGACAGAGGAGAGCAAGCTGGGTCCTCGAGGCACCTGTGAAACACCCCATTTGAGCGGTCCTGTCATGAATGCATAATGTGGTGAGCATGGAGACAAGGAGTCCACCAGCAGCTGTGCCGTTCTCATGCAGGCCCAACAGGTGCCCCTCTCCAGCCCTGGCAGGTCCCAGAAAAAGGGGGGGAGTATAGACTTAATGTCATAAATGGTCTTCTGATCACTCAAAGCACTTTTATACTACATGTCACATTCACACACTGGTGGCCAAGGCTACCATGCATGATGCCACCTGCTGCTCAGTAACCATTCACATGCTTTCACACACCGATGGAGCAGCCATCAGTAGCAATTAGGGGTTAAGTATCTTGCCCAAGGACACTCGACATGCATCGAGCCTCAATAAAATGTGAACAGGTGAGCTCAGAAATTCGACCCCAACATGAGGGTCTGTGGGGATTGACTTGGCTCTGGGGCCTCAAGTGGCCATTAGAGGAACTGCAGTTTTTGAAACTTAAGCCTCACAGAGCTGCTGTTCGCGCTGAAGACTTAAGTTCAAATTATATAAAAGAAGAAACAACCACCTCCTCGGCTGTTGCACCAAAAGGTTCAATCGAATAAAGGTGCTTTCACGGTGGCAGCCTTTTTGAATGTCACTTAGATTATAAAGCACTTAGAGGAGATATTAGTCAGGAGTTTGTCTGGCTTTTCCTCACATTGTCACCAGGATTCTCACTTAACCTTTTGCCTTTACTGCTGTGTGTGTCTGCCTCCCATCTGATAGTCTGTGTGGGTATACGTGGATTAAAAAGCAAGCTGGTGCCATGGTTTTCAAGAAACTTATAGATCTATCACTGGAAAATGAGAGGCCAGTGACCAGCTCAGTGCTGTCCTCTGTCTCTGAGGTCAAGTGCGTTCATACCTTTACCCTTTAGTATTTACTACAAAATATAACAAAGGATTCAAACACATAAAAATGGTGTCAGAAGATTCCTCTGGTTTCAGCTGAAGTAAAACGTGTGGGTTTGGACGACATAATGAGAAGCACCTCCCCAGAAATGTAACTACACGTAAGGTGAAACCATTTCCCTCAGTGGAAACAAAGCTTTTATTTACTTTAATCTCACAGATAAAAAACAATAAATTGTGAAGCCAATAAAGCCTCCACTAAAATAGCATTTTAAGTCTTGTGTGTGATTTATCCTGGTTTCATAGGAGCAGAAGAATTTTAGTTGCTAAGCTATTTTATACAATGTAAAATGCCATAGGCTTGGGCTAATAACGTTAGCATGTTATATTTGTTTAGAGAATGTGTTTAGTATATGACAGTTGTTTTGTCGATGAACCTTGTGAGCTGTAATGGAGCTGAATTTTGTAACGTTACCTTTGTTAAATGTTGCTGTTGTTCCTGGCTTCATATGAGAAGAGGAAAATTTGCTAGCTGCTAGGCTAATTTATACAACGTAAAATGCCATAGGCTTGTGCTAATAATGTTAGCATGTTGTATTTGTGGGGAAAATGTGTCCAGATAAAGACAAGTGTTTGTCTGTGAATGCTGCGAGTTATAGTGAAGCTGATTTGTGTACATGAGTTTGAAACTGTCACTATTAAGCCACGTTTAATGTGTGTTTAATGTGTGTTTTGAATTGCACGTCGTCTACGCTGTTGTGAGCATTTATACTTGTGCAGTGGAATGTCTGTGTCTCTGCAGTTACACCTCCAAAACACTAGTCGTTGGCTGGGTTTCTCTGACATGCTGTAAAGTTTAGTTGATTCAAAACTTACATCAAACTTGGATTAATGGCAAACATTTCAAACAGAAATACACAAATCAGCTTCACTATAACTCGCAGCATTCACAGACAAAGCACTTGTCTTTTACAACATGCTAACGTTACTCTACTCATATGAAACCAGGAACAACAGCAACATTTAACAAAGGTAACTTTACCAAATTCAGCTCCATTACAGCTCACAAGGTTCACTGACAAAACAACTGTCTTATACTAAACACGTTTTCCAAACAAATACAACATGCTAACGTTATTAGCACAAGCCTATGGCATTTTACATTGGATAAATTAGCCTATGAGATTTCCTCTGCTCATATGAAGCCAGGATAAATCACACACAAGACTTAAAATGCTATTTTTGTGGAGGCTTTGTTGGCTTCACAATTTGTTTCTTATCTGTGAAATTAAAGTAAATAAAAGCTTTGTTTCCACTGAGGGAAATGGTTTCAGCTTACACAAACAGATGAGAGGTCTGCCTCACTGCGACATTTACATTCAGGGGAGGTGCACGTCAGGTTACGGTGCAGGTTGTAGCTGTAGCTATGGTGTAGGCTCTGCGTTGACATGGAGCCTACGCCATAGCTACAGCGTCGATTCAATGCAGAAGTATGAATTCCGCATAAGTCTCAAACTGATGTCAGCAAGTGTTACCTCTGGAGCTGATCCATGGAAAATAAACGTGAGTCTGATTTTGTGGACTAACAGAATGTCTGTTTTCTTTTTTTTATACCTAAATTTGCTTTATCCCACTGGAGTGTGTTCAGCTCTGAAACAGAAATTATACAACAGTTAGTTCCGGCCCTGCAATCTGATTGGTTGAGAGACAGTAAAACCGTGACGATACTGGAGTACAACATCACGGTTATTTCACTGTGTATGTATCACTCCGCCTCACAGCTGATTGCAATCAACAATCAAATTAAAACTGACGGTTAGTGTCAGTTAGGTCAGCAGTTGCGTTGTAGGCTAATTAATTCATCCACTGTCAAACAGCCCAAAATATGGATTTATTTCCTAAAATAAGTTTTGAATTGAACTATGAATGGTCATCAGAGGAAGATGAGGGAGAGGAGAAGCTGAATCCATCTGAGCACACATCCAGGTTTGTCAGTGTTTCATCAGCGGAGCTCAATGACTTGGAGAAAAGCAACATACTGTCAAATCAGAAGGCAGTGTCGGCTGTGCCTGTGAAGCGACAGTCCACCATGCAGTCACCAGAGACTTATTTCACCGGCTGCACAATTAATGGAAATGTGCAGATAAATGTGTATAAAGAGTAAGTGCCTGGCGCACCATGTCTGCGTTACATAGCAATGGTGACAGCTGGAGTCCTGAGGGAACTATTTTTGTTGGCGGAAGACAAATAAAATGCTTAGATTATCTATTTTGTCCTCATTTTTCAACATTTCTTAATCAGCCTTGCTTATTTAACTGTTGAACTGTTGTATAAAAGCAATATACTCGAGCTCGTCATGTTATACTCATATATCGTCACGGCTGTGATTCGGTCATAGGCACGAGGCTGCAGGCGAGTATAACATCACTCCCTCTCGTGTGATATTGCTTAAATATACCCATATACTCAGAACATTCCCCTGGGTGCTCTCAGTGTCATCTAGAACATAGTCATCTAGCTAACAGTGCTAACTCAAGAGAAAGTGCTACCATGGAGAGAGAGAGCAGACTGGCTAATCATAACGTCAGGGACCAGGGTCAGACAACAACACAGCTGTGCTCCATTGACTCTAATACAGTCGTTTCAGATTTCCTTCATTTTCAGGCTGGTTTTGTGGATTAGGAGCTAAATGTTGTGCCTGGGGCACGTCGTGTATTAATGATACTCATTACCTGCAGAGGTTGGAAAAAGATATACGTTTCTTCCCTGTTCCAAAACCAAAATCAAACCCTAAGTGTCGAGTTAGCTAGCTAGATACTGAAGATATAGCCTACTGAATGTATGCACATGCTGCTTGCTTGTTAATGATTAAGACATTATGTGTCATCACATTGTGTGCAGATGAGCGTTGTTTGATTTTCCCCGGAGATCCCCGCCTGTCTGGGTGTGGAGGTCCGGGTGCTGGCAGTGGCACGGGGACGAAGCCAAACATCACTCATCTGCACACACTGCAATGCCGCACAGCTAGTTCAATGTCGGCTCAGTTTTATCATGTGTGGCGATCAGCAGTGACGTGGTGGTTCACTTTTACACTGTGATCTGTAGCCTGTAGTTTGTTATTTTAACCTGTAGTTGCTGCTGAGTCAGTTTGACATCCTGGATATATCCCTCAAACACAGACTGTAGACCCCTCTGTCTGCTTCTCTCTGGAATCACTGTTTCATTTTTCCAAAAGTATGATAATATTTCCTCAGGGAGTGCAGTTATTTACAGTGAGGGCTCCATGTTAATCACAAATGTACGTGCTGAAGCAGCTATCAGTTGCT